TCACTCATAAACTACTACAAAACAGGATTATATAAATCAAGTCACTTATCCAAGTGCTTTTCTCGATGGTTGCACACGAAAGGAGAATGTTGACTAGCACAGAAACGGAACGTTGACTTCTGCAACCAGGGGGTGGCACCATCAGTCTTTTATCCGCAGGAGGAGATCCTAACGAGCAACAGCTGCTCATTATCATCTCCTGTGAGTCCTCAATTGTTCGTCGGTCAGCCCTTCTCCTGCGTGCATCCCAAAACAACTCACAGGAGGTTTCTGTGTCAGCCTCTCTCACTGATCCAAGGCTCAGTCATTATCTGGGGACCAACTAGTCTCTCTGAGCCCGGCTCGGAGTCAGAAATCTGTCCAGGGCCCTCCACCTCCTCCAGGCCTGACTCATAGGGCCCCTTGCTGTCAGAGTCTGATAGCAGCTCCAAAGGCTCCTGCCAAGCCACAACACTGCTCCATGGTGCTTTACAGCTGTGGTCCACAACCCCTGATCCGTGGACTGGCACTGGTCCGCGGCATGCCAGAAATCACTCCCTGAAAACAAGTAAAGCCCCATCTGTGGGATGCAGGCAGCACATGAAACCAGGCCCCCTCCGCTCTGTGGAAGAACCTCTCTCCATGGAACCGGTCCCTGGTGCCCAAAAGGTTGGGGGCCACTGCTTGACAGAACACTCTGAACGGTCAACACATTGCCCCCAACAATCTGGATCCTCATTTTATGGACCTCTGAAGGATGGAAGGCTGAGTCAACCTCAAACGGTTGTCCAATCTTGCCTTCAAAACCTCCAGTGTTGGGAGCTTCTGGAGGCAAGTTGTTCCACTGATTAATTGTTCTCACTGTCGGGAAATTTCTCCTTAGTTCTAAGTTGCTTCTCTCCTTGATCAGTTTCCACCCATCGCTTTTTGTTCTACCCTCAGGTGTTTCGGAGAATAGCTTGACCCCTTTTTCCTTTTTGTGGCAGCTCCTTAGATATCAGAATGCTGCTATCATATCACCCCCAATGCTTCTTTTCTCTAGACTAGAGATACTCAATTGCTGCAACATAAATGTGGAGCTCAGTTGTGGCCGGAGACTGTCTTTATGTTTTCTTTTTTAACACCGGAAGTTTAAAAGAAGAGATTGGATAACTATTTGTCTGAAGTGGTGTAGGGTTTCCTGCCTAAGGAGGGGGTTGGACTAGAAGAGCTCCAGGTCCGTTCCAACTCTGTTATTGTATTGTATTGTATTGTATTGTATTGTATTGTATTGTATTGTATTGTATTGTATTGTATTGTATTGTATTGTATTGTAT